CTCAATATACGATATTCCTTTTACAAGCTGGTTACTCATTATCTCAATCAGTTTATCCTTATTTACGTGTCCTAGACGCACATGCCATTCTCTCATTAGGCTCTCAATTTTGGTTAGGCTTGGCATAGTCAATGGCTTAATTGGCGTAGCCTTAACAGCATTGCACATTCTCTGTCTTTCTTTTGTAGTACAGACTTGCACATAGTATGCCCCATTGAAAGACTTTGCTACAAATATTAACTTGTGCTTCCAAAGTATGAACTTGTACAGTCCGCTGTTACTTGCCACAATCTGATAACCTGCCCTTTTTTAGCCAAAACTCACTTAAGGTATTTGACTTAGCATGTGGTACTAGTGCTATATCACTAAACTGTACTGACTTAACTCCTGTTGGACTCATCAAAGACAACTTAACAGTACCAACAAATGTATTTCTCAGTTTAGAGCCCTGGTCAACTGTAAAAACGTAGTCTGAGTTGGGCTGCTTGCTCACGAAGACCAACTCGCTTGCAGTCAATCCATATCCGCATCCTGTATCCAAAACCCATGAGTTGCCCGTTAGCTCAGTGATAGGCACCAATAAAAAGGGATACAGTCGGCTTACCGTATCTTCCCCTTTTCTTCCAATTCCTCAGCGGCGGCTGTGACCTTGACGCTGTTGGCAGGCATGACAGTCTTACCGTCGAACTCGTCAATGTCGTCCTCACTGCCGCTCCCCGCAGAGCTGGAAACCACCGGAGAGTTAGGACACCACCGGAGAGTTAGGACTTCCCGTCGGCGTGACCGCAGTGTCGCTCGCCATCGGCTCATCCTCATCTTCATCCTTGGGCGGATCCTTTTCCGCCTTTTCCTTCGGCAGATCCTCATTCGCCTTCGACTTGTTAATGTTGAGGCGTTGAAGGACCGCAGCATCCACCGGGATCTCCTTCCTCTTGGGAGCCGGTTGCACCTTTTGCACACGTGCATGGTCCGTCTTCCGCACTTTGAGCGGGCGAGGCTCGCTGAAGATGTCTTTTCGACCGACGCCCTTGGCCATGTCCTCCTTTCTCATAGGACAATCCTTCTTGAAGTGGGGCCCAATCCCGTTCTTGTCGTTGTGCACGCCTTTGCAGTAGAAGCAGGCGTTCGGTTGCTCAACATCCGTCGGCAGCATCATCGTTTTGCGCTTGCCGGACTTCTTCATCGGTCCCTTCTTTGCGCCAGCCATTCCTCTGGCAGCGTAGTTGACTGGAATCTCAATCGGGGCTGAGTCGTCTTGCCCATCGCCTGAATCTCGGCCTTACTCTTGTTGCCGAAGATTGACTTCAACTTGGTCTCAATTTTCTCCAGGGTGAATTCCTCCTGCGAGAATGTGACGCTAGGTCCCCAAAGATGGTCCGGTAGCATCGCAAGCACCTTCCCAATCATCAGCTGACTTGGCAGCAAGTGCACACGCAGCGTTTCTTGCCCTTGGCGATTCAGCCGGTTTCTCACGTTGCGCAACTTCTGAAAGAGTTCGGCCACGGATTTGAAGTCCTCAGTCATGGTTTTCTCAAATTCCATGATCAACTCCACCATGCCCATGGCGTCGCTCTTCCCAAAGTCGACCTCAAGTTGCGCCCAAAACGCCGCAACCGTTTGTGCAGAGAGTGGCGTACTCAGTTGATTCATGTATGCATGAGGCAGGGTCCGGTTGAACATGTCCCTGATGTAGGAATCCACTTCGTCCAGCAGAGCCACCTCATACTCATGTTGATTGCGAGCATCATCCGTAGCATCTGGTCCCGGATCTGCGATATGGGCAGGACGCAGGAGCAAATCCTGGAACCCGTGACGGGGAGCAGCCCTTCCGACTTGAATCTCAGAGACCTTGCGGCTGTTGGTCTTGCCCACGAGATGTGCGACCACGGCGTCTTTCCATCGCTGGAAGTCGTTTGGGTTCCCATTGAACTTAAGGCCTTCGAAGGGAACTTGGGTGTCCTTGACCATCTTCGAGCACTCAGTACTTGAAATGTTAAAACTCAGTTTTGGTTGGTCAAACTTAAGCTTTATTTTTCTCTTAATGCCCTCTCATAGACTAGTGCTAAGTCGTTGGCAAAAGGAGAAGTGAGATCTCTCCGAATGCCGTCAATCATCATCGCACGAGCGGTCGCCAACAGGGCGCCCCCTGATTGGCTAGTTATGTAGTCCTATGATTGGCTCTCCCTTAACCAATGGGAGAGCGCCTTAATGCCAGCGGGTACACTTTACCCTCAAGCCTTTACAGAGCCTTTACGGTCTCTCGGGAACCTCATTCTAACAGATTGGCGCCTGCGTTCATGACGACGAAGGCAGCCATCGCAGCGACGGTATGCTGTTGCCTGGCGGCGCCCGCTGTGCGAGAAGTGGGCGAACATTTGAGCCAATCATACAGGCAGAACCAGCGTAACAAACCCATGCTACGCTTTCACTGTTAAAAAAGTTGATACACCATCCTGTTTGATTGTATCGTTGTATTGAGCCGATCAAAATTGTTATGAGAAATGGTAAGCCGAGCTGGTTACGCTGGAGTACAAATCCCTATACTGAATTTACTATAGTTGGAGATTGTACTTTGAACTTGTTTTGACAAGAACAGGATCAAGTAGTAGATCATTCTACACCACCAGTTCGGTGGATCTCTGTGGGTCGCATTGTAGTCTCACACAAGACAAGCTTAAATCATCCAAGTCTTCGTAGATAAATGCCTAAGCTAGTGCAGCTAGCTTTTAGCCTTTTTCCGGAGAAGACGTACCACCAGGTGCAGCTCTTTTTGAGTCTCCGCTGAATGAACTCGTTCGCCACCGTATAGGACGTCCCCTCATTGTCGACGGATAGAGTTGGGTTTGGATTAAAAAACTACGTTGAACGAAAAAAAATCGAGCTATACTTCCCATCTTGGATCGCACAACCTAGGACTTTAAGTAGTTTTTTGCAATGTTTTTGTGGAATGTTTTATCTATCCATCCGAATTAATTCCAACGAGTCTGGGGATTCACACAATATCAGCCCGCCGACAGTTTATGTCACGGCAAACTAAGCTGACTACACGATTTTCAATCTCTCTCTCAGAAACTATGCATGCAGAAGAAAATCTGTGTCTGAAAGAGGAGAGTATAAGTTATGTAGGACTCATAACAGATCGAATCGATAATTTTACCGCTAATGGAATCAATAAGTACTATGTTGAGTACTTTGAAGCTGCATGTACAGTAGTAAGTATAATACGATGCACCAGTTGTGTCCAAGGTTAGCATCATTAGCACCGATGCCTCATGTTGATCGAAAGAATACAATGCTTGCTAATACACAATACGTTGTTCGTCGTAGTAGTCTCTGATGTTTGTGATGGAGCTTCACTTCCACTGATGGCATCTGACATGAATCTACAGTACAGTAGTAGGAAAAAAAGCTCCGAGGTGAATAGGCATCCATCAAAACCTGTAAGTGTCATTCAGACCGATTCGATCGAGTGCTGTATGATGTTGTGTGAATGTTGTTTGATGTCATCCGCACGGGGGAAAGTGACGAATGTAGCGTGAATATCGTTCGATGCCATCCAAAAACCTTCCCCAATCGACAGTTCCTCGAACTGCGAATAAATAGTGGGGTACCCGGACTGGTGGTCCGGGGGGGGGGGGGGGTCGCAGTTCTCAGGGGCGATTTAATACATGCAGCTATATAGAATTCCGACATCAAAGTATCATTTAGTACGTATCCGCAAGCATCTCCTGCGCCTGCTTCGCAGCCGCAGCATCTGCCCCGGGAGTATGCCTCAAAGTATAAGTAACGGTAAAACCCCTTACTTTTAAGCAAGGGGACATTTAAAATGTCCCCTTGATCAGCAGTTTGCAGCGGTGCAACTCCTCAGCAATCTTCACCGCTTCAATTGTCTCGGATAGCTGCTCAATTTCGTACTTTCAGAGAGTGAAAGCTACTGTAATGCAGTGCTGTACCTGTGTTGCACGAACGTCGTGTGAAAGTCCTTCGATGACAAACTCGCCTGGGCCGCCTAACGACAGTTCTTCGAACTGCGAATAATTCATGTATTTTCACTAAGTAAATCATAGAGACGTATTACCTGTCAATACAGTTGGCAAAAGCCGTGCTTCGCCCGATAAAACTCTGAACACGGAAACCTCTATATCATAGAAAATTGATTTTGAAGGTACCGTATATGACAGAAAAAAGCATTCGCTGCTTGCTCAAAAATGCTGTCATCTCAATGTCTCGAAAACGCCGTGTTTTGTCATTCTCGACGCCGAAAATGCCGAGTTTTGTCATGACTTTTTTTATGACCTGCAGATCCCATTTTTAATCGTACAGTCTGGATTTATTTTGACTTGATGTTTGTATGTTTAATTTAAATATTACAACTAATTAGCAAAATTTCAATTGAATATAGTAATTTATCCAATTATGTCATGTCAAAGCAATGCCTTGTTACTGTGTCATCGTGGATGTCACAAAAGGCCGACTTGTGTCATGTAAAACCTGGCAATATGCCAGGTTTTGTCATTTTTGCGAAGAAAAGGCCGAAAATGCCGACTTTTGTCGTGTGCTTTTATTCTGTCATATACGGTATTTGATACCTGCACCTCCACGAGGTAAGCAAGTACAGTACATAAGACCCTGGTCCAGGTACCGGAATGTGTTCTGGGACCCCCAAATCCTTGAGTTTGATTGGCTGTTCGAAAACGGTACAGTGTACCTTATTCTGATTCCGCGTTCTGAAAAACGTGATTTTCAGAACACCAGCCCGAGGCGTTCTGAAGTGGGGAATACGGGAGTTGATATCAACAGAGCGGGTCCCGATAACCGCAGAGCGGGTGCTGTACTGTCCAACCGACTTTACGACAAGACACAAAACATTGTCCAAAACGTTGACACATTTGAGCTGTTTGTTGGTGCTTAACTGAAGCAACAGCAAAAGTACAAACGCCAAGCATTACATCTCGTAATACAAACGGATAAAGAGATAGAGCTTCACCAGAATGGACACTATGTCTCGTTTGCCCGACAATGGAACCTGTGACGGTGCAACAGCGCTACCGAGCTTGGCACCTCCGACTGAGCTTCTTGCAGCCCTCAATCTGGATCATTCCGTCCACGGTGTGGCTCTTCAAGCGGGACAACTCCTGACTCAAGACACTAGCTCAGCGTGTTCCATCGCCGACACTACAGAAGCACCTGGGGCTGTAGCCCAATCTCCTACTTTGGGAAGGCTGGATCTCGTAGTAGCCTTGGTGTCGCAATCTGTGCAAGTGCGCTCTGCAACGCCACTAGTCCAGGCAACATCGGTTGTGCAGCCTGTGGTGCAAGCATGACAGCCGCCTCTGGTCTCTGCTATGGAGCTGCTACCAACATTGCCAGCTCCACCGTTCACCATGGCGAACCCAGCGGCACCAGTTGACCCACTAGAGCTGGTCATGTTGGCAATGCCGCCGCTGCCGCACCGGCCGACTACAGCTACGTCGCTATCGCCCACGGTCCAGGCAACTGTGGAAAGTGATCAAAATTCGATCTCGTCTCGGCCGATGCACTTGCTTCAGTCGGCGCGCTCCCCATCGATGGTTCTAGGCTTCGGTTACACCGGGCAAGCCCCCGACTAGGTAGCTTCCCATCAAGCGACACCATCTCGTCCGGTCTTGACAGGGTCGCCATTGCCGCCAGCGGTGTATCAACCACTTTCCACTCAGTCGATCCAGCATTCGTATGCTGCGGGCGCACCTACGTGGTATATGGATTGCCTTCCTGAGCAGGTGTTCTCCACTCCAGCGGAAGCTTAGGCCGCTTTGAATCAATTCGCGCGGGGTCGAGGGTATGCGGTGGTGTACAAAACCACGAGCTACGATTGCATGAGGCAAAAGCGGTTGATCCAGTACGGTTGTGACCGCCATGGCAAGCGTCATACCCACAACGTGCTAGCACAAGAGCGTCGCCGTCCGAATGCAGGATCAAGACGATGCGGTTGCCCGATGTCTGTGTTTATTGTTCGCAAGACGCGATCGTGCGGTGGAGTGGTGTGGAAGCTGCAACATCGAGGATGTGCATTTGTGCACAACCATCCCCCATCGACAAGCTCGGCTTCCCACCCAATTCTTCGCCGTGCGTTGCGTACACCTAGTGATCAGGGTGGACAGAGAAACCGGCACAAAAGCCACACAAACTATCGTGCGATTGCTTCAGGAAGATCCGAACGTCATCGTTACGCCTCGTGATGTTTACAACGAGCGCCATCGCAGTTCCGTGGTTTCGTTTGGGGGCCTTACCCGTCTCGAATTCCTGGTCCAGATGACACGAGGCGGTCCCCAGAAAATTGCCGACGATGTGCCGTCACCTGATGACTTGGAGTTTGTATCGGACGCTGATTGGTGGATGACTTGGATACGGCGCGGCTGTACCCGTGTGACATGGATGGCGACTGTGGGAGAGAAGTGATTTCTCGGGATGAATCTAGCGCCTGACCGCAGATGGGCCCACACTGGCTGGAAGTGTGAATCCTGGGAGTGCACGCCCAGGATTTCAGAGAACACTCAGTCCAGTCGCGGACTTTCCCTTACGATGAGTGCCTAAAGTCTGGCGGAAAGTGTCTCTGGAGAATGTATCCCAGAGTACACCTCATCTTGCTGTGGCTCAGAGTGCCCCAGAGAATCAAATTACCCTGAGAATCAACCCACTATCACCATGATCATGCGCAGGAGGCCGCTAAACCCGCTAAAAGTGTGGCTTTGTGGAGATACACGCGAGCCTGCAATGCAGCAGACTTGTTACCCAGAGTGCCGCACGGAAACCCAGAGCACCGCACGATGACCTAGAGTTCACCTCCCTGAGTGCAGGTGACCCAGAGTTCCAAAGATGATTCTCTGGGTTTGGACCATAAATCCAGACTCTCTATACTGAACTTAAGTGTCTCCCAAAGCCAACACCCAAGAATCCCCACAGTTCCCCAAGATTCCTCAGAATTCCCAGGATTTCAGAAGATGACCCTGAGTGTCACCTTATTTTCAGGGATTCGAATCAGTTCGAAGCCAGTCTGCAATCAAAGTGATGCGTGACCTTGAAGAACCGTTGTGGATGCGCAACTGGATACTTTCGAGGAGTCGAGAGGGAGTCCTGCACCATACTAAACCAAGTCTAAGGAGCCACAATTGGCACTTTCGACGTCGTGCGACAATGGATTCGCAAGCCGATCGCAAGTTTGGACCGCTGAACCCAAGGTATACTCAATACAAGACATTTGACCCCAAGCATAGTGAACAGAAGATATTTGCCCGAAGAAGAGAGAGAGAAAGAAAGAGAGAGAGAAAGAAAGAAAGAGAGAGAGAGAGAGAGAGAGAAGTAGCTGATAAAAACCAAACAGAGTTCCTTTTACCCTGTACTGCGCAAGTGATTTCGGCCAAGCCTGCCGACGGAAATCCGGAGGACCCGAGACTACGACCGCGGGACGCTAAGGGCACATCAACGGCGAAGGACAGCCGTCTGTGTGGGCTCCATCGAAACTCAAGTCCAGTTAGGTGGGGACCAGCGACGGCCTTGAGCTTCCTGGAGTGATCCATCTATTCCATATCCTAGTTGGGTCACTTGCTGTGCTCATGGTAGCCCATTTCATATTATTCCAGGGGGTATTCTGGGGTGCTAAGTAGTCGCCTCCAGGATTTTGTATTGACTGTTTGTGTGAAGGGAAGGTAACTGATAGTGATTGTATTTTCCTCCTTTATTGGAGGTGGTGCACGTTTGTGTGAGTCTCAGGGGAGCTAGGCCCCTGAATTTCAGACTCGAGTGAGCCTAGTGTGTGTGTGACCCACCGTCCAAGGGTCCAAAAGAATAAATGACGGATAGTTGTAGTCTGTATTTGTTGGTTTTATCGAGCTAGGAGGGCATTTGGGTAAGGTGTCTTCTGAGTTCCAAGTCCCAGAGTTGACTGAAATCCTGGACCCTGAATTCGTGATATTCGGATCTAATTCTCTGGATTTGCCTTTTGGTGTGGAGGTGCGTTGTGAAGTAGACGTGCGCTCCCGCACTTCTTCGAGGCTACATTTTCAACCGGTGGAGTGCCGTTCCGTCGAAGGCAAACGAGCCGACAGGGATTACACAAGGTACCCACGCCAACCAACGAGTGTGATTCTCAGGGTTTAAAGCTTTGCGGCTGCGAATCTCTGGGTCCCTCTTCTTGCTGTTGACTCTCAAGTCGATTCTCTGGGTCTACACCCTGGGGAACAGTCTTGAGCTGCGCTATACGAACCCCCCCCCTGGGCGACAAAGGTTTCATCGGCCTCGCCTCACAGAAGGTTCAAGAAGGAACTTTTCAAGTCGCGTATAAGCTTGATGCCGGTCGTCGGTTGACTCACCTGTTCTTCGCTCACACAAGTGCGGCATCCGTTTACCGTGAAAACTACACGTAGTGCTTCTCGACTGCACTTACCGTACCAAACGCTTCAACATGCCGCTGCTGAATATTGTGGGTGTGACTGGAATGAACACTATGATACACATCGCCCAAGTCTTCATGGTTGGGGAGACGGAACCAGACTACGCGTGGGCCTTGCAGCAGTTTATTCAGCTACAGTCAAGGTTTGAAATCCCTCTACCTCAGGTATTCTTGGTCGATCGGGACCTGGCGTTACTGAACGCTCTGGAAAGCGTTTTCCCTGGTGTCCCAGTACTGTTGTGCATTTGGCACATAATGAAGGACGTGCAAGCCCACGCACACAGACGGACGTTCACGAGAGAGAATGACCCTGACACGAATCAGCCCCGCGATTCAGCTGCACACGAGGCTTTTTGTGAAGCTATTGTCAGAGTTATCAACGCGCCGACAAAAGACGAGTACAGCTTCCGTCGCCGGGAATTGTATTTTCTGTCTCCAGATGAAGCCGCCTGCATCGACAATGTTTGGTTAGACATTTGGAAGCGACGAATTGTTCGCTGTTGGACTGACAGGGTGGTGCAGTTTGGAATGCACGTAACCTCTGGTGTGGAAGGCTACCACGCCACGATGAAGGGATTGATGGGCTCATCCCGTGGGGACGTTTTGACTGTTCACAATCGCATGGAGCACTGGTGGCGTCAAACCATTAACAAGCACCGGAAACTACTCTCCGATGCAGAGGTTGTCTTACCGACGCGGCTACAATCTTCGTTCTACGCGGACGTGGCGAAGGTCATTCACAAGCACGCACTCACAAAGTGCCAAAATGCGTACCACACGATGGACGTTCTTTTGCGTCTCTGCACAGGTACCTATTCACACAAATGGGTATGCCATGCACGCACCAACTCCACAGCCTCGCTAACAGTGGCGAGGCTCTTCAGCCGAGCCACTTTCACCCGCACTGGTGGATTCACAGGGCTCAGGCTCCTCGCACAGTGAGGGCTCGTATTGTTGAACCAGAGCGTATTCGCGACCGGCGAGCACAGCGAGCCTTACGTAGACGGAATCACCACACCGCGGGTAACGGCCCTCGCGGGACCCGCCGGATTCCGTCATCATTTGAGTTGATGTAAATACTATAGCCGTGCTGCCACAACGACCTCTTTGACAACATATACTATCCTTCCTCGTGAATATTGTGGTTTATCATGTTCGCTTACAAGCCGATGACTGCCAAAATAGTAGTAGTCGTGCGGATCTATGATCCAGAACCTGGACCCATGACAGATAACCTTCGAAACACGGCTGCGGCAATCCGTATTATAAGCTTTTATGATTACCACTAAGTAGGAAAAATAGTTTGAGGGCAAAGTATGGAATATTCAATGACCAGTAGTGTTAATAGCTAAGCAGACGAATACAAAATGCCTCGACGGTATTAACCTGCATGTGCCACTTGCCTCAACTAGTGCCGGCACAGTTGTGAGTGTCGTAGGTGTTTTTCTTGTTGAAATCCTGCCCGCAAGCCCCGCAATGCGCACCTCTGTCGTTGTTCTTCTTGCGCTTCTTGGCAATCGCTTCCTTGTCCGGGTTGTCGTTGCAGTAGCGGACGTGGTTATGCAGTGCCCGTCTCCCATTGCACTTCTTGAAGCAGTGCACGCACCGAAAAAAAAAACACGCAACACGCTCAACAATCCCCTCGTCATGATCGACACCGTCGACGTTGACACACCCATGGAGGGGGACATTATTCACTGCAGTTGCTACTTCTGCGTGTGACAGGTCGCCGCGAAAGACGAGCATGTCGCCGGGTTGCATGTCATCGATGATAATCCACTTCTACCGGAAGGCATTACCCGCGAAAGCCCGCGGCACCATGGTCATCACTGTATTGGACTCCAACACAAGTAGAAACGAGGCCTGTACCCATTCTGTTTTGATTGTAGCGTCCACACACACGATGGAGGTGCTCTGCCTTGGCATGTGGCTGCGATTCCAGCACGGTTAGTCTCTTGGAGACGCTCGACGCAGGGTGAATTCTTGCCGCATACGCAATAAAGCGCTCCAGCACCAGCTGGAACGCAGACGGGGCCGTGGAAGTATCATTGGTCATATCGACGGACATCTGGGGTCGGTTTTGACAATTTAGTAGGCGCAGCCAATGGCGCGGGTGCGTGGCTCGGATAGCGCGAAGTACAATGTCCACTTCGTCTTCAGTGAGGATCTGGGCAACCGTAGTATAACCCTTGTTCCAAAAGTTCGCCCTCATCGCAGTAACAGACAGCGGTCTAGTCGCGGTGTCGCCAGTTGACTCGGCATCGCTACCGACCTCGCGGGGGGCGGGTGGAACACCGCTAGCGCTAGCATCGCTAGAGGTAATAGTAGATGCTGGGGCAGTGCCATCATCACCGCGGGACGTCGCATCACCGCTGGCAAGCCCGTCGGTTGCGGCCACAGTACGTGTCGGAGCCTCAGCTTCGTCATTGCGTCTCAGGCAGTTACCGGTTCCGGCGGTAGCGACTTGCGCTCGGCGATTGTTCTTTTGTGCGCCCGGCAAGTTTTTTTTTTCTTGGTGGTGGAGCGCCTTGCACGCTTCGACTTCACAGTAGTAGCGGCGTTGTCATAATTGGGCGCCCGATCCTCGGCAGCACCGGTATGTTCCTCGCTGCGGCGGGCACTGAGAGCGAGAGCAGTAGCAGCAGCCTGCAGGGATCCGCGCGCACGGGCCCCAACTGCTTTTTTGCTGCGGGGGTGGGCTGTATTCTTGGTACTCGAAGCGTTGATGTCCCCGGGACGGGAGCTTCCACCGACGGCAGCAGCACCATCCCCGCCAGGGCTCGTCTCATCACCGCTTATAGCAGTGTTGTTCTTGGGGGGGGGGGGGGGCGTGCTAACGGCCCTTGGCGTTCTTCTTGGTGCTGGATAGCTCCCCTTCATCGCCCGCCGCGCGCCTTTCGCCGCTACTGCGGCTGCTTGCCTTCGCAGTACCACTCGAGGGGCCACATGCTACACCGCTCGTTTCCTGACTAGCGCTGCTGCTGCGGGCGTCTGAGGGCTCGGAACGTGACGGCAGATTCTGGTGCAGGTTGGACTGTGGTGGGGTCATTGCGGCTTATGCATGTTGTCGCTGGCTGGGCTTCTTGGGATCTCCCGCTCAGCGATCCGAACCGCTCGTCATAAGTACGAACCTCTGTCGTTTAGATTGTGCGCACTTTTGTAGCCATCAACGTCTTTATTTTGTACGGTATCCGCCAGCCCGCGGTCACCCATATGGATTCTATGACTAGCCCGTAGTATGCAGCCGTTCTGCGGTTACCGGGACCCGCTCTGTTGATATCAACTCCCGGGGAATACGTTCTGGGCGCTCGTTGGCATAACAACGCTCAGGGCGGGGAATGCTTTTCTCAAAATGCGCCTCCGAAGTTGTCGAGGGCATCGTAGAAAGCGTCACGTACTTCCTTGCTAGCAGGAGCGATGCCTTGCATCTAGCAACGCACAGGTTGTAGCGTAGGAGTAGATGAATGCATCTCTAAACAGAAACCGAGTAGTACTATGTTGCCTCAATCCACGCGAGTGGGCAAGATCCCATTCTCCATTTCTTCTCCATGATAAAGATGCTGGCATGCCTTATGTTTCTACATGTATATATGCCTCTTTAAGGTAAATACTGATGTCAATGGCTCATGCGTGTACATGTAATGCAGCAGGCTAGCTCTTGCTAGAGCGCAGTAAGTCACAACGCGGCAGTGCAAGTGCAATGATAGCGCACCTCGTTGCCGAGATGTGCTACGAATGCAAGCCTTTCTATCACATATTTCGTACATAAATTTCATTTCCTACAGAATTTACTTGGGCCAGGTTCGGAACGTGTTCTCAAAAGCATGATAATTGGCGAGCAGAACCACAAAACCCTAACCCCAGCGTAGCCCAAGAACGCGTTTTGCTACCTGGACCAGGGTCTAACAGACAAAATGGGACTGAGATGGCAGTATTATATGGTAGGCTCTACCCACAATTATATTTATTTGAGTGATAAGTCTTAGCAGTAACGACAAGTTGTCTAGGCCTTCATTGGGTGTAAATCTTCGATGTCGATTACAACGCAGCATCTGCTATTTTGACGCGAAAACTGGCAATATATATTCCGAGAGCTGATTTAATTCTTCGAGTTAAGATTAATTTGTTTTTTTAAGTATTGAGTGTTAGTGAAGTCAATCAATAGCTGGACATAAGCGAGGGGGGGCATGCAATAACTGGATCAGGGAACTTATGATTTTTGTCAGGTATTCACGATGTAAACTTACTTCTTTCCTTGAAAATAACGCCAAATAACATTTTGTTTCAGCCAATCATATGAGAGATCAGCCAAAAATAATATTGGCCACTAAGCATCGAGGAACCCTGAATAGGAGTTCCGGCTATCAGTCATAGAAATTGGTCGGAAATGGAGGGCGGTGACGGTCCACCGAAGGGTAAGTGCCCTGCGTGCCCTAAGCTCGTGGCGAAGTCGAACATGTCCAAGCACCGCAACGTGTGTGGGAAGAAGAAGCCTTCGAAGACGCGCTAGGCTATAAACCGAATGCGTTACTTGTACTTTGTAAAGCACACACATCCGTCATTGCGTCAAGTTCGGCTTGAGGCTTCATCTCGGTGTCCACGGTAAGTCCATTCCCAACCACGGTGAAAGCCTTAGCCATCGTGCTCGTAGTTCATCAACTTATTGGTCTTCTCACCAAATTTGCTAATTTGGCCGCGAAGCTTGTCGGGGTGAAGAACGAAAATCGCCACCCGGTTGAGCTCTCTAGGAGTAACCATGGACGGACCGCGGTCGTGCTTTGCCTTGCAACATGCCTTCAGCTCCGTGAGGAAATGGGCAAATAGGTCCGGATTTAAACTGACACCATAGAGTAGATCCTCGGCGTCCTTTGTTTTTTGGTAATGACGTCCATTCCGTTTCTCCATTTCCTCAACCTCCACGCCCAGAGCCTCGAGCTCAGCAAGCTGCTTACGAGCCACTACAGATTATGCATGTTAGATTGACCAATAATTGATATCATTCTAAAATTTATGTACCTTCCAGTCGGCGGAATTGATCGTACACGCATTTTTCCTGTAGCTTTTGGAGGATTTTGTCCTTGTTCGTCGCGTTAGGAACCGCGGTTTATGAGAAACGACGACTTCTCTGCTGGGCACTAGCCGCTAGGGGTTTGGCTATTAGAGATACAGGTGAAGTGTGAGTTCTAACAGCCCGAGTCCACCCAAAACTAGATCATTCCGCCTTTTGCCGAGCAGAGAACAAAGTTAACTACCGCTAATATAGTCAACCTTTGCCCGTGTGCCACCGGTGGAAGTTAGTTGTGCAGTAGATGTTGCTGGTGTCAACGGATCTGCCCACAGTGGAGGTACAACTGCAGCTACTGTTAGCGGTCATTCATGTGGTGACGGAGCCAGCAACGCCGGCGCCAGTGCTGGAGTCGGCCGTAATGCTAAAGTGGCAGGCAGAGCTGGAGTCTGGTAGACTCGGTGGAGCTGCTAGTGGAGCATAGTCGTCTCAAGGATTTTGTATTGGCTGCTTGTGTGAAGGGAAGGTAACTGATAGTGATTGTATTTTCCTCCTTTATTGGAGGTGGTGCGCGTTTGTGTGAGTCTCAGGGGAGCTAGGCCCCTGAAGACTCGAGTGAGCCTAGTGTGTGTGTGTGACCCACCGTCCAAGGGTCCAAAAGAATAAGTGGCGGCTAGTTGTAGTATTTGTATACTCTGTATTTGTTAGTTTTATCGAGCTAGGAGGACATTTGGGTAAGGTGCCTTCTGAGTGCCAAGTCCCAGAGTTGACTGAAATCCTGGATCCTGAATTCGTGATATTCGGATCTAATTCTCTGGATTTGCCTTTTGGTGTGGAGGTGCGTTGTGAAGTAGACGTGCGCTCCCGCACTTCTTCGAGGCTACATTTTCAACCGGTGGAGTGCCGTTCCGTCGAAGGCAAACGAGCCGACAGGGATTACACAAGGTACCCACGCCAACCAACGAGTGTGATTCTCAGGGTTTAAAGCTTTGTGACTGCGAATCTCTGGGTCCCTCTTCTTGCTGTTGGCTCTCAAGTCGATTCCCTGGGTCTACACCCTGAGGAACCTTCTTGGGCTGCGCTATACAAAACCCCACTGGGCGATAAAGGTTTCATCGGCCTCGCCTCAAAAGACCGTAAACAATCACTGGATACAATAGAATCGCGGATTCGACCTTAATGTACGAACCCCAGCCCGTCTTAGGCCCGGTGGGTACATCTATGTGCGATTATTTTATTTCGCGCTGCTGCTAACAATAACTGGCTCGGGACAGGCTATTGTACACACGCCACCATTAGGCACCCCAGCTACGGTATTATGGTGATATACCTAAAATATGGATGTGGCCCTAAACTGGAGGTGTTGGTTCAAGCAAATACACAACAGGGTAGCATTTGTGGCACTTCATGCAAGCCTCAAAGCAACACTAAGTTTCAATCGTCAATCCCGCCGTCTCAATGCGCCATAGAAGCCGCGAACTCCACAACCGGACCTCCCGGTGCATTAACTATTCCAGTCTTCCTCGCTTCCACTAGGGGGCGTGCCGAGTCGGCACGGTTATGAAATCTACATTATAGCACCTCCACAGATAGGGTGTGGCGTGGAGGTTGCACATTGATGTGGCTCCAATGTAGACTTCAGTAGCATCGCAGGTGCCATTTGAGATGTCAACCGCCCGCTAATTCGCGTATAGCGCTCTACGGAGTCGGATCCCCACCGGCCAAACTGTCAAACGCGACGTTGAAAAGGGCTGTTGCACCACCACCACGAAGCGAATGAGGGCCATACTTGTCAGGATCTTGTCCGGCCAGTTGGCCGCGTGTTTGAGAGCACGGACCACATCACGCACTTGCAGATTTTGGTGAACATCAATCTTGCAGAGCAACGAATGTTCATCAACTCCTAGCTTAGACTGGTGATTCGTGAGGAACCATGCCGCTAGCAACGGACAACACCATCGGGGGCCAGATCTAGCCATCACTCGGAGGCCCCCGCGCCAAATCGATCAGATCTACTTCCACGGAAGCATATCTTTACAGCATTCGCCTTCTGCAACAAGGTGACTTCTTTTCCACTTTTGTCCACGAATATTACATCTGATCTCCGAATTGCATACGACTGCACTTTCGAACCTTGAGCTAAATATTCTAACCCCTGAGAAGAAAGTTGACGCTGCAGAGGTCGTACGCATTGAGGAAGCAACAGACATTCGTGGTGGGTTTTCGATAAACGTCTTACTGCAGATGCATTGTCGCTCCAGCATCGAACATGAATTGTCTTGCCTCGAGACTGTTGGTTCCACTTCGCGGTTCATGTCCACAGTGCCAGAGCTATACTAAAGTGCTCCCTGACGTTTTTCGAAAACCCACCACGGGTGCCTGCTGCTTCCTCAATGCGTACGACCTCTGCAGCGTCAAACTTGATCTTGATGAATGAATTGCACACTGCTAGTTCGATATTGGACGCATCCATGTATAATTCGACGTCTGGTGTTGGTCAATCCCCAGTGCCAGAGGTAGCTCCGCAAGGCATCCGTGCTTCAAGATACGACGAAACCAGTAGAGATCGGTTTTCGCGCCCTCAGAAAGTTTAACCCTGCCAAACCGTGGTGCATGCGTGCACTGGCACTGTAGTCGCTTGTAGAAGGCTTCGTAGTTCACAAGCAGTTCGCCACGTGACCCTAAAAGCTTGTAAAACTCTGATTGTGACGATGTACCCCTTTTTAACATGGCTTGCACACCGTTGTGCGCCTAAGCAATTTTATCGTCGGGGTTTGATACCGTACGGTGCATTGTGTTCCATCGGAGACCAAGCGCAACAGTTTCAGTGCTCCACGACGACAACTTTCACTCGTCGACGGATATTGGTCCAAGGACCGCCAACTTTCCTTAGCATAATGTGGCTTCCGCTAAATACAACCTGTCACCAACGTCGGGTCCTGTAAGGTTACGATTGTCTACCCATTCAAAAGGGAAGAACTGCTCTAAATCCGCTGACGCAGGCACGGCAGCCGGAGAATTAGAGCCCTCTAACCATGAAATCGCGCGACCAAAAAGTGTGGAGCACAGCCGAATGGCGCCGTCATATCGATGATAAGACAACACAGCTCATTCACATACGCTTCCATTAGAAACACTTGGTTAGCTTTGGTTCTCAAATGCCGAACCGCGCTCTTCACGTCTTCCGTAAGTATATAAATTCGGCCTGCATCTCCGAGGCTCCCGATGCTCTGAGCTACCATAACAACCGATACAATTTCAGCTCCTGACGCTTCCGGTCTAGTGAAGAGGTTGGGATAGATCCTAAATTCACTCTCTGATGTGTCTGGACAAACAATATGAGAACGGAACCTTAAGCTACACCGGTCTGCATGGCCCTCAGCAACACCTGCACCTGGCGTCGATAAATCAACGGCTAGTGCAAATAACTGGGGAAAGACCCTGGTGTTACCCGTATTCATTGCCTCATCGTAACAAAACACGTTTTGGCACCAGTCCGCATGTCCTACAGCTACTCTTGTGTTGGTGACGCTGTTTTTTGCCGCGACTGACGGCAGCTGTGGAAAGGCCCTTGTGCTGTGTGTTGTTTGAATATATGGTATCCTCAGAGGCCGGTGAACGAGAACTGTTGCTAATGGCGATAGATTTATCGTTGGCTGTATCTGCTGCTGGCGTTGCTGCCTCGTCGGTGAACTAAGACGCACCGGTACCACCGTTGCCATGACGCGACCGTATATGCTGCACTGACTGCGGAATCAAAGGTAGACGTGCAGCTGATCTGCTCCGGAAGAGTCATAACTGCTTGTACTCCTGCTTGCGATCCTCACAGCGCTTCTTAATCTCGGTTTTTACCCCATCGGGGAGTCGGTTTGGCACAAAATGTCCACCATTGCTTGGGTAACCACCATCCTTCTCTGCACAACCCGCAAAGGATAGAAAGCGCAAGCACAAAGAGTGATTCTCGCCCGACGCAGGATCCACTTGTACAGGTATCTTCTTGAGCACATTCATGGGAATGCAGCCGCAAATTTTGTTGCTGTCTTGCTGTCACCCACTGGTAGTTGCTGCCGTTGTCCATGAGCTCCTTTACTATCCGGTGCGGCGCCTGGGAATGCATTACTCTGTGTTGTCGCTTCATCGACGTGCCGATGAACCTTAATAAACATCAGATCACGGCGTAAACGGTCATCCGTCGAGCATCGAACCTGAACTTGGCGAATGTCGTCATTACCTGCAGCCGCTTCGCGAAAGTCTTCGAGCACATCCTTCACCCAGTAAACCACGGAGGAGGGCACGTTTGGGACCCACGACACATGAATGAGTTTTCCTTCAATAAATTCAAGGATTTTTTCTGTCAGGTCGATTAGCTCCTGCCAGCAGTATTCTCGCGCATAGGTCACCAAAACACGGGTGGAATCCACAAAATCTTCTATACAGTTCGCCGGTACCGCTTTCTCGAGCTTCGCTGTCGCCGACAAGTTGTCAAAGTTTGATCCACCCGTCTCGAGCCATGTCATGCGCTCGTCCCGAGAAATTCTCGCAAAGTGTCTAATAGAAAGGCCCTTGGGACCAAACCGAATATCAAAAACACGGGTGCATACACCCGGCAATGTCTTGAACTTCACCGCGTCAAACCGATCCATTACATTGATATAGACAGAAGTAATCTTCCCTTTGTGCTTGCTGGATGCCATTCGATCGTGCACATGCTGCTGATCTGGGCGAGGGTTGAACGCATACTTTGATGCTGTTTCTTGCTTCTTATTCGCTGGTGTTGATGCTATGTTCCTCACCGCGGTGGATTTGTTGCCCTCGCTTCTGTCACCCTGATCACGCCTCAACTACAAAAATCGTTCCAACAGCGCTGCGTCGTCTCCAAGTCGCTCAACTATTAGGGCGTCGCTATCCAGTGCAGAACGTGACTCAATACGCGGGTCCTGAACTTTCACCACATACGGCTCCTCTTCTTCAGCGAGTGGTTGGATCTCCCGAGCCCTCTTGTTGCGAAGTTGCTTGGCAGCGGGTATATCAATTGGTACCAGTATTTCCTGCCCGGAAGCGCCCTGTGGAGAGACATCGTCATCCGAAAAAGAATCAAATATTTCAGTAGCGTCCTGGACTCCACCACTACCTCCACCAAGCGACCCTTGATGCTGTCTTGGGGTTTGGCAAAATGAGCTGCCAATGTGAGTTGGGACTGGCCTATGCCCACCATCGACGAAATAGGCAAAATCAACTGCGTGTTGAAGTTCGAACGCAATCAGTTTTCCCGATTTGGCATCAACTCAGCGGCAAAGTTTGGCCGGTGAGGGAAATGCTTCTTCGGTCAGAGTGCCATGCAGTATCTCGGTGATGCTATTCGAAGCCTCTTCAGCATCTTGCCCCGATCCGCGGTCCATGACCATGGTTGGAAGGCTATCGATTTCGCTGTTGCTTCACTCACTGTAGTAAAACTCGACGTGCTGAAATTACAGGGCCACTATAGGCGGTACAGTCGATACTTCATCTACGCTTGCGATGATCTGCTCCCCATCATAGTTGATCGTCAACTCGTCGTAGTCCACCACCCTCACTCGGCCAAAATGAACCCGGTCGCCTGTCATTATCGCGACGGCCCGTCTTAGAAACGAAATTGGTCCCGCCATATGCATTTCACCTGCTGTAACCAGGTAACTAAGGGTAACATCATTCGCCACACTACCTTCACCTTCTTCTAGGCTCCAAAAGACGGCATCATCGCGCTCGACTCGGACGATCTTCGCGTAAAACGGGTGGTCGAAGCCGTCCCCTACCCGTTCGTGCGTCAAATGGAGGAAGGCTCGGGTAGAGAGTCGCACCATGTTCCGGAGTGCTGAGAGCTTGTCAAAGCACGAGTGCTTTAACTAGAGAAGCAAAATCCGAACTAATGCTACGACTGTTGCTACAGGCGCCTGCGACTGCTCCAGAGAGCACTAGAGTTGCTTTGATATCCGCTCCGTCGACTCAAAAGCTATTTTCAGGTCTTCTACCTGGAAATTTCCATTATGCGAAGGGGCCCCAACCTACACGATCCAGTCCCCGAAGCGTCAACAGCTATAAAAATGAAGAAAACATATTTTAGCGAGAAACTTAGTCACGCATTCAGTTTAAGCTGTAAACGTCATCTGAAATATGGTCTGCAACTACAAGCAATTCAAGTTTAGGGCGTTTTAGTTTAGGCATCTACTCAGACCAAAACCGAAATTACGCGGGACAGACCTGTACATCTAACACATCGTGTACGTGTTCGATAGGCTGATCTCACCGATATTTTGATGAACACTAATAAAAACACTTGTTAGCAGAGACTCTAGAGAATGCGGGTATGAAGTAACGGGCAGGTCGTACGCGTCGAGTGCAAAGTTGCTAGTTGCATCGTGCCCCCCTGCAGATCCTAAAGGCCTCACTCCGTTAGAACCTTGATCATGCCCTTGATATGTTTATGAGATCGATTAGTTCGAACCGTCACTGCGTCAATGACTACACGCTGTTAATACATTGCTAGGTACAAGCCTTACAACCTAGTTAATCGTCGCTGTAGTGGAACTAGCGGCGGTTCCGGTGACTACACTAGCGTTCAAACTATAGTTGAATGAAGAGCTGGATAATAGCCGCCCTACCGTTTATATAATATATAAATGGAATATATTAAATACCCTGAGATGATATTGTAACGGGGTTACACGCACAAGTGGCTATAGCCACTTGTAACTCTAACAGACACGACGTCTGTTAGAGGTTCGAAAGACTTTCTCGACCTTGGTGTAAGGTACACCAATGGCTACCTACATTTGGGACCACCACGACGGGTGGTTCATACACATTTAGGATTCCTATAGGCTGAAAGCAGCATCTATTAGCCAATGAGCGACTTGCATGTTAGCGAAATCCTGCCAACCAGCTGTTGGCAGATTCCTAGTTTAGAATATTACATTTTGGGGAAGTCAAAGCATAAATCACAAATAACATTTCTCATCTTTCCAAAACCCGAGTCTTTATCTTGTTTAAAGTCTACTCGTGGATCTCGAGTATACTTAACTCAACTAAAAGAAACCTATGCTTCCTCTAACACGTGCGCACACGTGTAAGCCGTAGTAGTGAGCCAAAGTAGGCCCATTACACCTGGTAGTACTTTGTAGTCCGTCCAACAACCGAGTACCTGAATGTTCGTACGGAGCTGTACCAACGAGGACCCGAGAACCTATTCATGAGAGCGGAGGTGCCCATGAAAAGCTCCACTACGTCTGCAAGTCAGTTGCACGCGCTGACTGCCTCCACCTGTCGGGCCCAGAGTGGGAGGCACTCCAAAGACTGTCAACAGTCATTGGAGAAGCGGCTGTAGCTGCAATGCTGCGCACACTATTGCCGATGGAGGAACACGGTGTTGCTCAGGGATTCATCATGAAGGAGCAGCGTGATGCTGCTTCCTCTATCACGGTGGCGTCGGGGACGACACCGTGCGAGCAATCGTTGAAGCTAAATGTGAGCAACTATGTCGGAAGAGAGGGCGAGCCTCTCCTCCGTTGGCTTGTCGAACTCGACACTGCCATCGCGGCTCGACGTATCGTCGACCCGTTGTCCAAGGTTGCGTTCGCCATGTCAAGTCCTGGCGGACGAGCGAGAAGTTAAGCGTATGAACGCCGACTCTCTGATCCTACGTGCTTCAGCACGTACGAGGGTTTCAAGGAGGAGCTCAGACAAGCATTTGAGCCCCCGCAAAATGAATTCCGGTCGAGGGCGAAGTTACTCGACCTGCAGCAGGGCAAGCATGATGTCCATGCTTACGCTCAGAGAGCACGGTATTTGGTCTCGAACATTGTGACCAATCCGATAGACGAGGCGACTAAGGTCGTCACGTTCATGAAATGACTTAGAGATGGGCCTGTGAAGACCAATCTCTTCCGTGAGTACCCGAGTACTCTCGAAGCTGCAATTACTCTTTCAATGCATGAGGAGTTTAGCCTGCGACAGGCTAAGCTGCATGCGAATGCGCCGAGGCTGCAACCGCCTCCGGTCGCGATAGCGGGAGGTCCGGAACCAATGGACCTCTCGAATGCAACGGCTGCTGATTATCAACAGCAACAAGGAAGTAATGTACGATGCTTCCGTTGCGGAAGGATCGGTCACTATGCCCGAGAGTGCACGGCACCCGTGCTCCGAGATGGTGGTTGACGCGGCGATGCCCGGCATCGCCGCGGACAAACAAAAAACGCTGGAACCCAGTAGGTGCGGGGCGCCCTACTGGTGAAGCAGTCACGCGTGTTCAACTCGGACATGCGACACTGAGGACCGCAGCCACCAGTGAGGACCATTCTCACTGCAAAATGCATGATGACAAACTGAACCTTGTCATCTTGGACGTGTCTTCGAAGAGAGAGAGAGCAACTCTCTTCGTGCTTTGGTAGATTCGGGCGCGTCGATGAACTTTGTTCGACTGCGAAGTCTATCAAGGCTTGACTTCGAGGAGGTAATTATACCTCGAAGTATGTTAGACGTTCGATTGGCAACGGGTGCCATCGTTAAAACCGAGAAGCGCATGGTACGCGTGCGCTTCATGTACGAACATCGAGTGTTTGTCGAACGCTTCATCGTCCTGGGCCTGGACGATAAGTTTGACATTGTGTTGGGCATGCCGTGGCTTGCACGGCATGATCCGGTAATAGACTGGGAGAAGCGCACTCTTGTGGGCTTCGGTCGCGATAGCGGAACAGAGAGCGATGGCCCTGTTGCCGCAACGCACGCACCGACAGGTGCGTGCGTTGCACTCTCCAGTCAAGCCAGTCCCTAATGGCGTTGTCCCGGAGCGCTCTGGGGGCGCTAACACGCGCGCAAGAGCAGCAAGCGTCGGCACCACCGCCGACGGCTGAAGAAGAAAATGTGTCGATTTCGGAGATCGACACAAACATTTCAGTGAATCAGTCTCCAGCCCCAAGGCCGCGGATGACGCGTATTTGTCACTAATGTCAGTCCCCGAGACTGACACAAATCTGATTTTGGGAGTGTCTCCGGCCTCAAAAGGCGCGGATGACGCAGGCGAGTCACACGCCGCAGCCGTGAAGGCTGACGCGAATCTGATTGGATCAGATCTGGACAATACTAAGAGCCAAAGTGACGTAGCGCCGTCGACTCCGGGAGTCGATGGTTTGATTTGTCGGCTCTGGGAGCCGACGCACCTTCCGTAATGGGGGTTTCCGCCAATGGTTGGCGTCGAGGTATTAAAATCGCGTCGGTTCCGGGAACCGACGCTGTGAAAGGAAATTTCGTTATTGGCCGAGCCCTTTGTAACGAAAGGCTCCGCCAATAACAGGCGTCGAGGTGAAGATGGCGTGTCGGCTCCGGGAGTCGACGCTGCAGGCGGTGCGGGCGGTTGCAAACGTTCCGCACCGGAAAAACTTGCACACTGTCGTGCAGCTGGACTGCACGACACAAGGAGCGCTTTGAAGAGCACAGCTGGGACTCGTTGAAGACGAGTCCCTACTACAAGATCTTACGGGTGTACGCGGACGTGCTTCCGGAAGAGATTCCTGCGGAGCTTCCGCAGGACAAGGGCATCCAGCACGAGATTGATCTCGTGCCAGGGACGAAGTACTGTGTCACGCGACAGTGGCCACTGCCGCGAGAGCAG